TGTAAAACAAGCTGTTGTTTTTATTTACATTTTGCAGCTAAATAAGTTGGAAGGACTAACCATGAGTTAGTTTTTCTGCTTTGTAGGCTTTTAACAATAGCTGTCCTTAATTTCTGCTGACTCTGACCATTCTAACTTGCGAGGCAGCCAAGTGTTGCAAGTCTGGGATCCTAGATAGACCAAATAAAATGAATTTTTCAGTTCCCAAATAATACTAAAGCACAGAATAAGGACAAGAAACCGTTTTCACCAAGAGCAGTATTGACAGAAGCAGCGGTTTCCATGTGATACCTTGTAAACAGGGATGCAGCAGATGAACTGATACTTATCTAAAATTCCCACGGATAGCTAGGACTCTCTTGTGCCGCGTTAAATATACTTGTTCTTCCCATGTTGTTTGGGAAAAGGCTGTAGGTGCTACTTTGGAATTGTCATAGTTTTGTGTAATACTCATTTCCAGTATTCCTGTTCATTCCTAAATTATCGATGCTGCTGTGGAGGGCATCAACATGCAGCTGAGGGAGTGCAATCACTGGAAGGAGCAGCTGTATCAAAAATAAGTTTTAGAAAACTTATTTATTAAGGAACTTTTATAAAAACTGCGTGAAATGTGATAAAAGTTGAGGAAGTTCGACATTTCTGAGCTGACAGAAAATTCTTCACTATGCATTGTGGAATCAAGTTTTTTGGCTTTCCCATCTTCATGGTGGATCACTGATTAAAATTTGATTATGATTGACTTTGTTTTAGAATGTTTTTGTATTTTTACAGTTTCAAGTAGACATTTTAAAATGGTTGTTCATGCGTTTAAAATGTTTACATGAAAATGGTGAGCAAAGCTTTATTTCTTTTCATCTCCTTCAGGCTTCTGGATGCCTATGATGAACATCAAGCACTTCTAAAGGAGCAGGATTCTTTGAAAAGGAGAGCAGAGAACGGGTAGGAAGTCTGTTCACCTGAGAGTGTCAACTGTCTTGGTAGATGATGCAGTGTGGGGTCGCTGGGACACGTACTACACTGAGCTATAGCCTATACAAAGCACTTTGGAAATGCTTTAAAAATAGTTCAGAGAACAATCTCAGTGACTGTGGGTTTTTTTCTTTATGAATATATATACATTTATTTTTCAGCTTTAAACCTACTGGTTGCAAGAACAAAACCACTGTTTTTTAATCACTTAAAATATAAACTAAATGGGGCTATACTGTTGGCTAAAATATTTGGAAACGGATTTATTGGAAGATAACTTTTTGAATTATGTATCACAGGAAAACTAAACAGTACTGGTAAAAATAAGTCAAACTCTAAGCAGAAATATGCTTTTTCTGTCTCAGTTTGAGCACCAGAACAATTAAAAAAAACAGACTATTGTTCTGAAGCACAATACACTCCTGTCTTTCTCTAAATCAAATTCTGTCACCCTTTTGGACAGGGCACCAAGTTTGAAAATATTACTTACCGTTATGTGTTGGAACGTTTCCCACATGAAGACACGCTCAGGGTTTAACCAAAGATACCATTTACAAGCATATCTTAACTCCACAGGTCAGAGGAGCCAGATGAAAAGAAGATGCTCACAGATGACCCAACTTTGGCATCAGCACAGATGATGGATGGAGACATGCAAGTCAATCAGGCAGCCTATAACTACAATGCCTGGTACCAGGTAGGCATATGCTTGGTTTCTTGGTTTAATGTGCGCATTCTGAATGTATGCACGTTGTGATTGGGCCAGGGTCAGTTGGCAAGGAAAGCTTGGAGTAAAAATTTAGCTCCTGCTTTTGTTGATTCCTCTGTGGCCTGTTACGCAAGTGTGAAATATTTCTCTCTGTGGAGCAAGATGAGCAGTTTGGTGGCTAGCTCTTCATGTGAAGGGACATGTGACAGCAGTGAAGGACATTGCTGGCTAAGGGCAATAGACCTGTTGTGTGCTGAAATGTTTTGCCAAGGAGACTCGCCTTGGGATGCCAATTCACCGTGTGTTTTGGTCGCTACTTTTTCCCGTTAGTAGTTCCTGTACCATCTCAGTACGGGTTGTACTGCACTGGTACACGATGCGTGCAAAATCAGTCTGTCCAGTAGCTTGTCTTTTGGGGCTAGTTTTGTATGGCATTTCATTCTGTCCCCTGTAGGGGCTTAAAGAGGGAATCGGTAATATCATACCTTGGTTTCCTCTTCTCGCTCGTGGCAGCAGCAGCCTCCAGCACACGCTCTGCCTGCTTCGACACTGATAGTCGCTGTTGTGTTCTGGCTGTCCAAGGGGCGGGCTGTAAGTCACTGCTGCACAACCTGCCTTTCTGCATGAGATGAATACGGGTAGAGGTGGTTACTGCTGGTGCCCCTCAGCCGGGGTGAGCGTGACCTACTGCCGCCTTGGAATGCTGCTGCTTCTGAGCTGTGCGTCGTAGAGGGTCCAACTGAAACTTCTGCTGAAGCAGTTTATTGAGAACTGTTGCTTAGGCTGTAAGGAGCCTACCAAGGTGGTGAGAACAGTATTTGCAGGTGGGACACAAACTAGCTGTTGTGTAACTCTGGCTTAGAATTGCCCACATCAAAGTCAAGCATTCTCTCCAAAGTCAGGCAGTGAAACGTGTCTAGCTCAGTGTGAGGAAACTCTGCTCAGCACTAGGCCAGGAAAAATGCCCCAAGTTTTCAACCACAGAACCATGGGAATAGCAGACTTACGGTGTCGGTGGAGATCTCGGTCCTGTGGCTGACGTGGTAACTCCCATCACTGTCTGCCTTCTGTGTGTTTCACAATACACTTGAGAATAGCAGGCAGAAATGCTTTGTGAAGGAACGGAGACATTTGTTCACGCTACCCCGAGAACTGCTGGTACCTGAGCTGAGGTACCGCTAGTCGCAGTAATACCACCGGAACAGTCCCAGTGACGGTCTCTGCTAGCTGCAAACTGATGGCTTCAGAGGGGGCAGCAACAGGGCACTTCAGCTGTCTGCCCTGGCTCTCTCATCTTGCGGGGTGTGCTGTGACAGTGGACGTGGAGCTAGAACACAGACAATGCATCCTTCTGTTACCTTCTGCTCCCTCGCTTTGTCCTGCCTTGTCTCAGAGTCTGTTGAAAGGCAAGTGAGGTGCCAAAGAGGGGGTCTGAGGAGCAAGAGTGAACCTCTGACCTGTCCTGCATTGGAAGACTTGCCACATGCATGTTTGTTAAGTGACTAAAAACGTTACAGGCAACGGTACCAGCCTGTGCGCTGACCCCGGTACAAACCTGACCCTGGGCTTGCAGCTGAACTGTATTTCAGCTCTGCCTCCCTAAGCAGGCTGACCTCCAGCCGATCTCCGAGGTGGTGCAGAACTTCACAGACCTTGCACGGCCAAGGACCACCCTCGCTGGTCCCACTCCTTGTACCAGGCCCAGCTGCCGGCTGCGTGGGGCACCTCGGTGGAGAGGTTCCGGGTGTGACACGGGCATGGCAATGCCGGCCTAGTGAGCCATTACAATGACAAACGGGTCAGCTTCCCTCTGCCTTTCTGGAACGAGGGACAGGTTGTTATCGGGTGTCCTTCCTGCAGTGCGGGTGTTCTGACTTATGCCATCATGTGGTTTTGTTTGGTTTTTTTTCTAGTACAATTACCAGAATGCATGGAATTACGGACAGTATTATCATCCAACTTGATCCGAAGAGTGAGTGAAGTTCACTGTGCTGCAGTTTCAACAAAGATGGAATAAAAAAATTTATTTTTCTAAATTAGGGATGTGAAAGAACTGTTGTTAAAACCTGCTTTTTGGTCTTTTGCATGTGAAATGAGCTGATGTTCACAGGGTACGTGTGAAGCAAGATTTGTGTGCTGGTAACTGATAAATGGTATTTCTGTACAATTCTAATTTACCATAAATGCTTTTTTTTTTAATTCCCTGCACTAATTTATGGAGATATCTGAAGAATTTTTTTCAGTCTCACAGTGATTCCATAGATTTAATCAGTCAAGCTGTAGGGTTTTGGGGTTGGTTTGGTGTTTTGGTGTTTGTTTTTTTTTTTTTTGCCCCCAAAGCCATTCTGCTGCCCAGTGCTGGCCACCACGGCTGCTGCAGGGAATGCGCAGTTGGGGACAGCCACCAGCTGAGGAGCAAGGCTGTCCTCTCCTGCTTTGTGCTCCAACTAAAATGTCATGACCTGCTTCTGTCACGAGATCTTTTCCATGCCCCAGCGAGCAACTCCCGGACTGCTTTCTGTTATGTTTGAAACTCTTCGGATTACAATGGCAGCCTTTGCAAGCTGCAATATGTATTTTCTATTCTATGTGGGGGTCAAAAATTAAAATGCAGTGCAAAATGATGTTGCATTCTTTTTTAAAAAGCACAAACTGTGTTTGGGATGATTTTTGTATTTAGAGTTTTTCATGTACACAGTGTGAGCAAACTTTTTTCATTTTGATCAAAGTGATCATTCCCATTTTTGTAATAAAAACAAGGAATTCAGTAGTCCTCTGAGCTTTCTTGGATTGCCTTATTCAAGCCAGGAATAAGAACGCCAAGAGTTCAGTTCAGCACCCGTCCTGGTCAAACAGACGCCTGCGGCTGGGACACAGGAACACCTCGGGAGCGTTTGGGGCATGTACGCTTCTGTTCTGGATGGGGGTGGGTGGCGGGCCTGACACGTCTATAAAATGCCTTCAAAGGGGAAATGTAGTGGATTTTTTTTTTTCCTAACTTAAGCAATGCCTAAACTATAAGTGTAATTTTTTTTTTCCTCTTCACAGTTTTAGGTGAAACTAAAAAAACAAAAACTGAGCAGCTGCAGAGGAGATAAAGCTGAAAGGGAGGTGCGTTGCTGAAGCCTTGAGCTAGGTATTGAAATACAGGCTTTTCAGTAAAAGATTGCTCAGTAGTGGAAGGGATAGTAACAACGGCCCTAGCAGTTCTAGATGGGTCTGCTTCTCCTTTGACCGTTTGCTGGAGATCTGTGCACTTTTTCCCTCCATAGTAAGAGAAAGAAGTTTTAAGGTGAGCATACACACAAAAAAGTGAAGTCACTTGCATGTATAAACTATGTTTTCTTTAGTGGTATGTTACTGTACAGCAGTTGGGGGGCAGGGAAAACAGACTTGATTTCAGTACAAGGCCACATTTGTAACTATATCCTGAAGTTACAAGAGCAAAACTGCATTGTCAGAAGCTTTCTTGATCATAAATGGATTTCCAGCAGCAAAGGAAACTCTTCACTTCATTCAATATCCACCAATTCCACTTCAAAGAAGAGTTTTGCATTTGGTGGAATCCTGTTTGCACACGTTAAGGAAGCTTAGAAACAACCAACCCCAGCACACAGTTAACAGACCAGCTGACGTCAAGGGATTTGCCACCTGTTCTCCGCTTTCTCCCATATCAGCTTTATATTTCACTGACCTGTTTTAACATCCTGCATTCAGGACGGAACCACAGCTGCTGTCTAACAGGAGCTGTCAGTTCCAGTTCTGCAGATACAGCTTTACTAAGTCGTGCTTCTCATTATTCCCGTTCCTCTTAAGATGAGCAGCAGTCTTACCTGAACTGCCTAAGCCTTGTCTCTGTTTTTGGGACACAGGCACTGGTCTTCCTCTGGAAGGAGGTTAGACTGTCCTGCCATGCGACAGAGGGAAGCAGAATGTCTGAACAGTCCTTTAAATTATCATGATGTAGGATTTGGACCAAAGAGAACAATTGCTTCCCTTCCTCTTGAAGTGCTGGTAAAACCAAAACGTGACTGCTTAAGACACTCTGCAGGCTCACTCACTCGGTCCCCTACTTCAGTTGGGTCCCAGAACCAGTTCCTGTAGCCAAGGTGTAACTGCCGTCTCTGCAGTTGCAGCAGACAGCTTTGCTCCCCATGACACTGGTTACTGTCCCCATCGCTGCTGCGGGAATAAGCATGGGGCAGGCGCTAGAATGAAAACACAGGCAGAAAACAAGAGCAAGTTCTACTCTGCAGTACTCCCTACGGGACTTTTTCTTCAAAACACATGGGCAATTGCATCCCTCTGTTAAGTTCACTGAATGTTTTTATATTGTTAACATTCTAATCCTGCTATGAGTAACAAGCGGATGCCCCCCCTTATATCCCTGTCCATAAAGCATTTTATTCCACCCAGCATTTCCAGGTTACTTAGTGAGTAAGCAGTCATGGAAGGATACTTGGCATCGGGTTGCCCTTTCTTGCCATAGGCCCACTCGGGTTCAATTTCCAGTTGAGCCTTTTCTCCTTTACTCATCGTTAAGAGAGCTTCATCCCACTAAAAAAACAAACCAAACAAACATCAAAAAAATACAGCGGTCTTACAGAGCTTAACAAAAAGTGCATTTCGCGTGCTTTTCCGGTTTGCTCCTGTGAACACCCATGCAATACCACCTCATTCTCTCCAGCATGCTCACCCACCCCAGCGCGCGCTGTGAGGTAGTTCCACGTCTTTTTTATTTGAGGAAACACTTCCCCTTGGCTGATGTTCCCTGCTCCCATGGTAGCCTGTACTGCTTTCACGTTGGGATGATACTAGTGAACCCATGAGGTAACGTGCTTGTTTCTAGTAAGTATTCACGGTTTCAGAATGTGTTTCAGAGCAGACCACCACACACAGTACCATGGGGCTTGTCTGTCTCTCCCTGCCTCGTGTTTCGCTCCCACTCTGCAGTATCAATGGATTAGCGCTTGTTTAAGGCTGATGCTTAGAGACTAGTTTTATTTCAGTGCTTGTCCCCCTTCCAAGACTCGCCCGCACGGCCCAAAGCCAGTATTCTGTTCAGCACCATATCAGCATTTCACAGGGAACAGCTGCTGCCCGCATCATGTCACTGCTGCAGGAAGGTTATCTGGCACCCACACAAACACGGGAGTGCTACGCCAAGAGACTAAAGAAAAACCCCGGCGACTGCTGCTTCTGCAGTACTGGCCACAAGCCCAGGGACGTTTTCCCCTTCCCAGTCCAGTTCCACCGCCCCTAAAGGCCTTTTTCCTGCACAGCAGCAGCATGGAAAATTATGCTGGGTTAGGCTTGTTTTGGTTTTTAAAGTCTGGTAAGCGCAAGATCCTTCTTGCACTTACCTTGTGCAGCCAGCTACCAATTTCACCGCTGGCTCAGCAGCAGCAAGACAGAGCGAGCATCTCATTTGCCTTGCACATAAGCTGGTACCTCCCAGACACACCGAGTTCACACCCGTGTCCCTGATTTCCAGAGGTAAGCAAACGGATGGCTGTGCAGCACACTCAATTCCTCTACCGCATGCTTCTAGTCTACCTAGATACTCCCCTCTCGCAGCCTCTACCTGCACTACCGCAGCACTTGGTGCTGGACTGCGCAAGAGTTAGAGCATCAAAACTGCAACTCCTTTCAGTGCACGACAGTAACTAGAATTTGGAGTTTCAGCATCCAGTTCAGAGTTAACGGATGAACTGAACCGCGCATGACGAGGCACTGAGGCAAATACAAAAAAGATGCTGAGAGAAAACAACGTTCTGACAGATTAAAGCACATCGAATGCATACAGTGATGGATGGAGCCTCGGGAACCCGATAACCTTGTCTGTTGTGCAGAGCACTAGACAGACAGCGCAAGAGGCTGTGCTTGTCCTGAGGAACACGTGGCTGTTACACTGCTTTCTGTACACTACTTGAGGAGTGACACTGCAGATGGATGAAAGCATCTGTAAAGAATAAATATCACATCCTGCAGATGTAAACACTTTCAACTTGCCTTTTTACCTCCACAAGAAACAAGAACAGCAGCTCAAGATTTGCACCCCAGTCATAAATCCTGCAGAATGAAAACTTTTTGGATTGAGGGACTCATTAATGGTTTACTTACACCTCTGATCACTTTTCCTATGCCAACTTTGAAACTTAAAGGTTTGGCTGCTTTCTTCTTCTTGGAACCTGAAAGACATTTTTATGTTCATTTGCTTTAACATCACACCAGCACATACCATACTTCTGTCTAAAATTACTATTGCAATGATGATTTATATAAGTATCTGTTCTTATAGTATTATTTTTAGCCCACTACCAGATTTTTAGGGGAAAATTTAGTGCTGTGCACTAAAAACATTATTAGATGTTCGAGTTGCACCAAGAGCTAAAGTTGATGAGCAGCTTTCAGATCCTGATCCAGTGAACCTCAAAAGACTAATTTCTGCATTACTAAAGGTGATGGTACAAGTCACAAACGCATTAGTGAAACAAAAAAAGTCAATACGGACTGTACAGCATCATACAAGTATGATGACTCAGCCCTGCTGTTCCTCTCAGTGTCGGACATCACTGCCAGAAAAGCATTTCTAGTATTGCAGAATTTCACATACCTCAATCCTCTGATCAAGAAACTGTCACAAGAATACCAGCAGATTTCTCTGTGGTGGATATGGTACACCAGGCTACTTCAAATCACTCTCATTCCAGTGCATCCATGTTTAAAGGTTTATTACAGAAGCACACTGAGACGTGTCTCTTTAGAGTAGCTAACTACACTGTTGGTGCTCGAGTTCCATAGGCAAGGGAAGCTCCCTGAGCAGGAACCATCTTTCCTCTGAAGTAGTTTCAGCGCTGATTAAGTCCCTACATTTCACATTATCTGTGGCCTGGAGAATGCCAAACGTGAGGTCTGGCAAGACACAGCAGTGTCAGTTGACACCAGCCAGTCCTAAAATACTGCCCTGCATTACCTCACGGAAAATCAGGTTCCAGGAGCGGGCTGCAGGGACACCCCCGGTCAGCTCAACAAAACAATGGTAAAAGCAGTTTGTCAGGGCTCCTGCCGTGCACTCTTTC